ATCCTAGCAGTATGGTATAAAGGTCAGATTTTCTAGTTCAGACAAGCTGTCAAGACTTCTGTAAGCTATTTGGCCAATCAAGTTGGAGGCATTCATTTTAACTTTGTTGTTCTGTACTTAAGCTATGTAATCATATGCAATTTGTTAAAATGAATAAAGACAAAGGCATTTAAATGGGTTACAAATGATTCTGACTTGTAAACTAAGGAGGCCTCTTGTCCATTGCTGACCAGATTATAGGTGGTATCATACTTCCTTTCATTCTCCCAGAATTGCTCTTAGAGCTAAGTGTCATCATTAGCATATTGTTGCTAATGACATAAACAAGAACATGTATGTAATCAGAGGTGGGCAAGTCTTTGGAGGTTCCTTAAATTGGTTTGAAAAAAGAAGATAGGGAAAGAAAGAAAACTAACCCAACATGTTACTCAGCTTTGAAGGTAAAACCAGGAATGGTTTCCATTTTAGCATGTTAACAACAGACAAATATAAAGCTTATAAGCAGATAGGACGGTATTACTAGTTCTACAGGAAACTGGGAGCTAGCTACAGATTACTGATATGTGTGTAAATGTCCCCATTTATCACTAGAGTGACTAAGTGCTTTACAAAACTATTCTGGTAGTCAGGTACTACAATGTTAGGAAAACAAGCAGGCCGGACTCCCCATTCAACATCATTTCTTACTTTGTTCATTGAATACCAATCATTTGTATTAGTTTTCTGAAGTATTATTTGTAAATCTCACCAGCACAATGGTACCCCCAGCTTTTGGCAGGTAGTCTCATTGTATAGAAGTTGTCAGTGGCATATACAACCTTCCCCTGCCCACTTTGCCATGAGCATTTTGTATGTTATAGTCAGACAGTAGCATTTCCCTAGATACAGCAGGGCTGTCCGGAAAGTATCCAGCCATTGTTAATACAATAAGAATGGTTACCTGTATTAACAATGGCTGGATACTTTCTGGACACCCCTCATATATAGTGCACAAATACATTAAGAGCATTTAAGAATTATATAAAACTGTACATTACATGAAGTGGAGCCATAAAGATTATCCTAAATATAAGTACAGAGAAAACGCATGCAGAATGAGTCCTGTAAAGTACAAAGCCTATGTATGGGATACATAATTTTAAGTTTATATTTCCTGCAGGATGGTAGCATACATCTTTTCCTACCCAGAGGCAAAATATATTTTCTAAAAATGTTGACATTGCTCACTGCATTAAGTTTAAATTAAAATGCTCCCTATGTATATAGATAGTAAAATTACTTGACAACACATTCCATTTTTTAATATATCGAGAATGTTTCCAAGGCAACATTATTAAAATGATTATACCACAGTCCCTAATAACATCAAGCTCTAACAGGAAGATGCAGAGAGGGCAGAAAGGTTTCATCTGGTCAGTGGTTTAGGTGCTCTTCTTTTCTTTGCCTGGTAAATTCACGGTATCTTTCTTGGCTTGGTTATGATGGCATCTGCAATCGCTTAGACTTTGGCTTTCACCATAATGTCCATCTTGTTAGGGATGGGTGTGGGTGGCAGCACTAACCACAGGAAAAGAGAGGGACAAAGTATCTGTCATCACTCTGTCATACCGGCTCTGCTTGTGATTTTTCCAAGTAAGGAGCTGAAGAACCGGGACAACATCCCTCAGAGATGAACCCGGACAACATGGGACTTGTGTTTCAGGAAGAAAGGATGATGATGTGCTTATAGAGCAGTTCCACCCCATGAGAAGGGCTTGGGGCCATGCAGCACAATAGGAAGCCACACTTCAGCTTGTAGTAGTAGCAGGGAACCACGACAGAAAGAGATCAGAGAGAAATTCAGCTATGCTGAATACACCGTACACTATCCAGTAGGTCAACCACCGGGTATCATCTTCTTTGCTGGGACATTCTATGGCTTTAATTGAGATGTAGGCTGGGTAGGCAAATCCTATCAGATTGCAGAGGAGAGAGGCTCCATGACTGAATACCAGGTACAAGGCCACCTGTCTGATGACATCAAGTATAATGGAGCCCACTTGGCCTCAAGGTTGGCCGGGAAGTTAGTCATGTAGCTTCTCAGGAATCAGTTGAACCTCTCCCTTATGGCCTCAGATGGGGAGGGGCTTATTTAGCATGTGTTAAGGAGAAACACATTCCTTGGGCTGGGCATGGTGGTAGCAGTTAGATCAAAAAAGAGAATCTGGAAGGGGAAGTAAGATGCTGGAAGAAAATGTTGGGAATATTCAAACAGTAAATTCTCCCCTCTATCCTTTACCCAAGTGTCTCCTGCCAGAATTTTATTTGCTCAGAATTTGGAGGATTTTAAAATTCTGTTTTAATAAGAATGATTGGTTGTTCCCTTTCAATCCTGACTTTTTCTTTTTTTTTTTTTTTTTTTGCTTGTTGTGTTTTGTTTTTGCTTATGACAGCCACTTAATTGCAGAAGCAACAGGGAGGCACATCAGTGAAGGATTGAGGTTCTGTTTGTGCTGCTCTCACAGGCTAAGCGGCGGCTCCAGGGGGTTGGGCAGGCATTTGGCCCCAGGCCCAGTTGTCTTCCCATTGTCAACAAACTGTTTATTTCCCTACTCAGACTCACCCTCTTATCACAAGTCACACTTATTAACAGCTTATTAGCAGTCTTTTTAGTTAAGACAGAGGTGAAAAATAGTATCTCAACCTTCAACCTTTCATAGCTTATAAATTCTCCCACTTCCTCGGAGGAGCATCAGTGCATGGCCTTGATATTTTTATCCCTGGCTAGTAAGTCTTTTTAAAGTCTATCCCTTGCTGTGACAGCCAGACAATCCTGAGCACAGGGGCTGTCCCAGTCCTTGTAGCTCATATTACACACTAAGGCTAGTGGAGACTGTGAGCTCCCATTGCCTAGTGACTGCTGGGTCCCACGGGGACTCAGAAACTGGCTGTTTTCCAAAGCAAGACAAGTGGTAAAGTGAGGATGGTGAAGCCAGATGTTTGTTTCTGCAGATACCTGTCGTTGGAGAGCCTCCATCCACACACCGTGGAATTTATCTGGTAATATAAGACATGGGCTGGTGAATTTTTGAGGGGCATTGCATAGAGACTTAGAGCACTTCTGAGAAATATGGGACATGAGCAATTTTTCAACAGTCACAGCGCATGTGCTTACGTGGCTCTGCAGGAAGGAGAAGTAAACATGGGATTTCTTTCTCCTATCTTAATTTTTTTCTTATGATATGTGGAGGTATAGGAAGCTCTATAATTTGTGTGAATTTACAATGTGGAGCTGAATTAAGTATTTCCTAAGTTGCCAATTTTTTTTCTAAAGTTGTGCAAATCTTACATTTTCATAGGAGCACAGTGTTATAGTTAAATGTGTGGGTTCTGGGTTTGGTTCCTGACTTGGACACTTAACTAGCTATGTGACCTTGGGCAGGTTATATAATAATTATAGTGTCTAAGTTCCTTTCATGAAAAAATAGGGGTTAATAACAGTGCCTAATCTGTAGAGTTGTTGTGAAAATGAGATGAAGTAGCATGTTTGGTGTGCTCAGGGATGTGTCTGGCACACCATAAACATATCTAGTGTGAATATCACAAGAGCCTGTTTTCCTAGGTGACCATGTGTAACTCAGCGAATTGATGCTCTTAGGATAGAGCTCCCCTGGTTGAGTAGTGAATTAACTCCCTGATTGGAATCAGGGAGAAACTCTCAGAGGACAAATTCTTGGAGCTGCTTGGGTGTTGATTTCTAAACGAATGCAATTAAGCTCATCTACATTCAAGGTTGGCATATGTCCATCTCCAATACACCATGTGATAGAAGGTACATAGCATATAACTTATTGTCTTATTCTAATAAAACATTCGCTTCTTGGTGTATAAGGTCATTGAAGAATAAAGACTCTAGACTTTGGAGGAGAATATGAAGCATTCAATAGAGAATGCATGGAATCTTCTCCAAAAGAGAACCATTTATTTTCTCAAAAAACATTAACTGAATATTTTGCATGTTCCAGGCCCTCTGCTAGGCTCTGAGGATAGAATAGTGAGCAAAAAGACATGATTCCTGTCCTCTTAGAGTTTGAATCTAATGAGGGAAACATTTGTAATCAAATAACTGCACAAATAAATAGTCACACATCTAATAATAGCTGCAACAATAAAATATGCATATGCCATGAGGGTTTAACTGTGGGGAGTGGCCAAGGCAAGAGGCTCAGGGAAGTTTTTTGGGGAAGTAATATTTGAGATGAATTTTGAAGGATGAACAATAATTTTGAGGGCCCGGGGTGTTTTCTAGGCAGTGGGGAGAGCATCTGAAACAACCTGTGGTAGGAGGGGAGAGGCTCAGTGGAATGAGAAAGCCATGCCAGCGTAGTTGGAGCACAGATATTGAGGCATCTTCTTTTTCTTTCTCTTTTCAAGCAGGAAAAATTGCTCTAGAATATTTTCTCTGGCTGTGAATGGGAGAATTGAAACAATGTCTTTGTTACTTTTACTCTGCAAATTTCTCAGTGCTGTAAAAACTGCTTCTAATACTGGTAAAAATCTTCAAAGTTGCTTGGTGGCCTATTTGTGCTTATTATAAATAATCCATTTATAATCAATAAGAAAAAGGAGCTGCCATGTTATTTATATAGCTCTTTTTAAAAGAGGAAATTCACATCTGTGTCTTTATGTCAATAGAAGACATTTCATTTTCAAGATAACTTATGAGCCAAGGAAAGCAAATATAAATACTCTGGTTGATATTAAAGTTGGTCAATTCTCTGTCGAGACTATATATTGCATATGAAAGGAAGTCAGATTGCTGAAACATCTATTATTCTCAGAGCTCTCCAATCTAATAACTTCTTCAGTGACACCCAACTTTCTAAATGTCAGGACAAATTACAGCTATATATGACTTAATCTTCTTTGGGCTATAAAGGACTCAAAATACTTGCCCTTTCACTCTGGCATGGAGCTAGTGAGGGGTGGAGTTTGCAGCGCTTTGTATCCATACAGATGCTCGTGTATGATCAATGGGCATGTTATGGCCACCTCACATTTTTATGGCACTTTAAATTTTCTAATGCATCTTCATGTGTCTCATTGTGTTGAGTCTAGTGTTAGAACCAGAATGGACTTTAAGAGTAATTTGGTCTAAAGATGTTTTTAACAGAAAATACATGAGTATCATATAACCTAAGGCAGTATTTGCTAACTGCAAATTGTGGAATTAGCAGATCATGATATCAGTTTAGCAGGTTGTGACTAGCATTAAAAAATAGAATAGAATATATCGAAATGCAGTAAGAATGATGTTGCTTTCCGAAACTTTTGTTTCAGTGGTGTTTTTGTTTGTAAACGTGTTTATTTGGTCATGCTTGAAAAATGCCGTCATAAAGTAAATAATGATATTATTGATTTTAAAAAGCAACGGGCTTGGTGAACAGTTCAAACTGCAGCCCTGTAACCTACTAGCGAAGTGGCCTTGGACAAGTCACATAAACTGCAACACGGTCTCCTCATTTCTAAACTGGGGCTGACTAATGCCAATTGTGTGAATCTGGCTCTAGTAATAATTGAGGGCATGTATGAAAAAGTTGCAGGAGATGGTTACTCTATATGAATATTTTTAGAAATGGAACACATGTTCACACCCAAACTGAGAGACAGGAAGGCACACAAGTGAATAGCCAGGTATTATTCACTTAATTATACAGGAGATGAAATGGAAACCAGCGGGGGTGAATGGCTTGTTTAAGATCACTTAGCAAGAATGAATGACAATCAAATCCGGCTCTCCTGACTGTTGGTCTGTCATATTTACCTCCATTCTTGTCCTTCGCCTTTGGAATTTCTTTTTCTGCCTCAAGTTCTCTTCAGTGATTTATTCCTTTGTATATTAAGCAGAAAATAAGTAGCAACACTGGTGGGGCTTACTGACATGACCCTCTGACCTCGGAATAACATGCTTATGCCTTACAAAGGACATCCCTAACCATAAACTATTCACTTACAAAAATAGAGCACACACTACCAAAGAAAGATACTAAACTGATGTCAAAATATCTGATTTTAATAATTTTTAATTTCAGTGATTAACCATGTGATAATAAATAAGATAATCTTTGTCATATCAAAGAAGATGATATTGAACTAGGCTATAGCTAAGAACTTTTCTACCCTTAATATTTTGAAAATATAAGTGCACATTACTTAGCAGAAGCAATTATCAGTGGTCAAAGGCATGAGGTGATCTGTAGCTATTATTTATTAAGCCATTTTATAGGGTTCTGAGGTTTTTTTCTTTGTATTAAAATATTTGAATCTCAGGCTGCTAGAGCATTCCCGTGAGAATTGATGTTTTCATTTGTATTTATAGGTGAAATGCAGCAGGAATCAAATACTATCCTTTCTACTTTTTGTTACTGAACTCCTATCTAATCTATAAGATCCAGATCAAATGACATAATTTCTCTAAAACTGTCCCACTTACCCAGCTGGAAACAGTCACATCCGAAGCACTTAGTTATACCATCCACCAAAAAGCAGTGTGATTATTTGTTTATGTGTTTGTCTCCCATACAAGACTGATTGTATCCTCAGGATCTAGACTAGTGCCTGGCACATAGTAGATGCCCCATAGTTATTTATTGGATGAAAAAAGACTCTGGAAAAATTTGATTAGTCTCCATGTGTCTGTCACTGAATGCACGAGACAGAACAATTTTCACATTCTTCGAGGATAGTCTTCATTGCATATTTGATACTATGCTATGTTTATGGTAGAAACAATAATGAAGAGGGTTGTGACAACCTGAGTAACCAACAGCCCTGATGACTTGTAGGAAACTGCCCCTATGACCCTTGACTCATCCTTTAAAAGCAGCTCTGCAACCCCAGGCATTGCATCTTCCTCCAATATTAGCTCTCACTGCAAATCTCTCATGTTTGCTTATTTTCTGTTGGAAGCTGTTAAGGTAGAGTTGCAAAGGGTAGGATTCAGTTGAAAGAGATGAGTGCACAGAGCGCCTGGGGTATATTGGGGGAGATTGTGCTTTGTCCTTGGAATGGAACTATCACCCTAAGAAATCATCTCTCATTTTATAAGTGCTCCAGAGCTGCTTCTGGGAACGAACTCCTGTGCTTACCAAATTTGCAGAGCTATTGCCAGAGTTAATTCACAAAGATGGGCAACCAAAAGCAGTTTGGGTTCTAAGTTGATTACACTAGGTAAGGGCAAAGTTTATTCAAGAAAAGTAGTGTGGGCTGGGCGTGGTGGCTCACGCCTGTAATCCTAGCACTCTGGGAGGCTGAGGCGGGTGGATCACTCAAGGTCAGGAGTTCGAGACCACCTTAAGCAAGAGAGTGAGATCCTATCTCTTCAAAAAATAGAAAACTTACCTTGGCGTGGTGGCACATGCCTATAGTCTGAGCTACTCAGGAGGCTGAGGCAGGAGGATCTCTTCAGCCCAGGAGTGTCAGGTTGTAGTGAGCTGTGATGATGCCACTGAACTCTAGCATGGGCAACAGAGAAAGACTCTCTCTCAAAAAAAAAAAAAAAAGGTAGTATGGTGCAGTTCAGTGCGAATAGACTAGATTTGTTTCCAGTGTCGCCATTCGCCAGCTATGTGACCTTGCAGAAGCCATGTAGTCTTTCTGAAACTCAGCTCCTCATTTGTAAAAAGAGAGCAATGCTCCCTTCCCTTCTCTTTCCTAGAATTGTTGTGAGGCTCGATTTAGAAAATAAATTGATAAACATTTGTAAAATGTATGGTATTATTAACCTCTTATGTTTATATTTTATTTTTATAAATAAAATAATGACAAGCTGCACTATATATTTAGTTTGTGGGTGAGGTTAAATTTGGGATAATAATTTAGGCAATAACACTGGTTTATGGTCTTGTATGTAGTTTAACTGAAATAATTATTTAATTTTCACTGCAAATTTAGTAGATTTTATGTGCCATACCTACTGGCTTTTAGTCAGAAAATCCAAAAGCAAGAGATATCCTCTCCTAATCCCAAAGAAAGCCTAAACTTCATTTGATTTTGAATGCGGAATCATCTGATTATTACAATCAAAGTTTACTTAAGTACAAATAAATTCTGTTGATTTCAAAAGTTAATGTTTTCCCTCTTAAGATGAAATGCTGTTTATAGGCTGTGTGTTGAGGGTATTTGGTTATATGTGTTTTCTTGCCTGCCTATGATTTAGAATCCCGAGATGGGAATTAAGCTATCAGTAGAAAATTGTGCTTTCACAGCTGTTCTGGGCCAAATATTGAATCAGTGTTTTTCAAGCAATGGTTTTTATGAAGAGAGAGCTGCACTTAGTTTCATGGGGAATGTTCCAGAACAAAGGGAATTTGTTTGCGTTATTTTTGTGTTTTCAATGGAGGAAATAAATGTCACCAGGTGATTTGATTGGCTATTCATGGACTTTTATAGCAATTTACATTAGATTCTTACTTCAGTAGTCTCTCATAACGTAGATATCTTCCCAAAATAAAGATAAAGTGCATCATATGATATCTTTTCATGCTACAAAAAGTTAAGCAGTCTGTAAAGGAGGAAATGAAAACAAGACACTTTGTTTGGGCCCTGTCAAGATCTCAAACCCTAAAGGGTCTGTGTTTGGCAATACAGCCTCTCCTTCCCCAGGGAGAGGCTTGTTTTTTTTCTATAGCAATTAGCATTTGCCACACACCTGGACTTGGAAGGACTTCTAAGGTGAGAAAAAAACTCATGTTAAAGCTTTGGTATAAAGCCCCTTAGTCAAGCAGAATAGAAGTGTTTTTGCATGTTAAATTATGGTTTTTCTTAAACCCTCTGGAAAGGCAGGCTAGCCCTTTTGTTTAGATTTTTAAACACACAGCTTTCCCAGTAAAATTGCAGGCTCTGAGAGTCTGGCTGCCTCATTTAATTTGTAGTGTCAGGAGAAACAATCCCTGGTGAAAATGTAAACACCAGACGATTATTTACCAGTGACACTAGCTCTGAGCCTTACTTCAGGTGTCTCCAAAAACTATTTTTTAAAGAAAGGTCTTCTTTGTGTAAATCTGATGAAAAATCTTCATGCGTGACCAGGTGCTTTGCTTTCATGACCATTCCTGGCTGGGCCTGTAAAATATGAAGCGACATTGCAGACCAAGCTTTCTTATCTGGCTCCACGGACTTGGTGCCCTTGAGTAGCACTCACGGACTTTGGTCACACCCTGATGGGAACACAGCGTCTTGTAAAAAGACACCAGTCTGGGAGTTTACAAGACATGTTTGTAAGCAATGAATGCATTTGACCAGGAGCAATACGTTTTTGTTGATTAAAACAAGATGGTTTAGTTGTCTGCTTTGAAACTTTTTGAAGGAGGAAGTATAAATCTTGCAGACATTAAAGTAGAGGTGCTTCTTGAAAAAGGTATAGGGGGGCAGTATCATCAATTTCCCAGAGTTTAACTAATATAAAATGGTCATGTCAAAGGAGGGTCTGTGATTGTAGACAAAAAAAAAAAGAAGAAAAACCATAAAATTGGGAATTGCAAGTCCTGGATTTGAATAATGGCTGCATGATTCTAGGGAAACCATTTGACTCCTGAAATCTGTTTTCTTACCAGTAAAGTGGGAATACTTATTTTTCTGTCTATTATTTTATGGATCAAGTCAAAATGATATATTTCAAAGTGTTTTATGTATATTAAGGCAGTGGAATATTATCACTATTGATACTGTTGGGAGAGGAAAGAAAGAAGATAGAGAATAATTAAATACAAATATTTCTTGTATCCTATATTCCATGCTAGGTATTATGCTATGTGCCAAAGATGTAAGGATAAAAAACACAGTCCTTGACCTCCAAAAGCACCCCTGATAAGGAAGGTAGGCTTGTCAAAAATATAATTGCAAGGCAGCATGGTAAATGAAATGAGAGATATCTAGCAGGTCCCTGAACTGTATCAAAAATGAAGTAATTTGGCTTGAGTGAATCTGGAAGGGTTTAAAAGGAAGAAGATACCCAAACTTTAATGCTTGCAGGAATGGTGGGAGTTTACCACACATTCCAGAGAAAGAAGGGCATTCCAGACAGAAGGACATGGAAGAATAGCATAGCAGGACTGGATCAGCGATCTGCCAATAGTTTTCTATGCCTAGAACTCCGTTCTTAAATGGGATAAACTGAGTGAGTTGATGGTAGACAGTTAAGCAGGTGCCAGATTATGGAGGCTTACTTGCCCTGAGTAAGCACTTTCCTCCAGAAAAAGGTTTTAAGCAGATAAGTATTTTCCAGTTATTTAACACATGCTAGTATTGCATGTTCTGTATTCCAGGTACTGTTTTAAGAGCTTTATAAATGTTAACTCATTTCATCTTCATAACAAGTAGATATTATTATTTTTATTTCCATTTAACTTCTGAGGAAAATGAAACATAGAGTAAGTAACACTCCTAAAGTGACCCACTCATAAGTGATGGAACCAGGATTCAACCTTGGCTCTGAAATCCACATTCTTAGCTACTTCACCATGCAGCCACTCAGGATTATTTCCACGTTTAAGGAAGATCACCCCGGCTATGATGCAGGGAATGGATTGACGAGGAGGCAAGGCTGCAGGCAGGGAGACCAGTTGGGATGTGGGTGCAAAAGTCCAAACGAGAAATGATGCATCAGTATGGTAAGAGAGAAGGAATGGATGGGTTCAAAGGATATGTGGAAGATAGAATTGATAGTAATCACCATAGACTGTGGAGTGTAAGGGAGAAGGAGGTAAGGATGTCAGGTTTCAGGTCTGGTGATGATTCCATGATCAAGACAGGAAGTACTAGAGTAAGAATGAGAGGAGACTTGTCATGTGGATTTTGAACAGCTGGGGAATATGAAGGTGCTATGTGTGGAAGGCAGATGATTATATGGAGCTAGAATTCCAAAGAAGAATCTGAGCCTGAAATTTAGATTTGGTAGTCGTCACTAGAAAGCTATGGATCTATATGTGATTTCTTAGGGAAGTTTTAGAAATGGATCCCTACTGATTTAATCTGGCTTGCTGATACAGATCTTTGAGTTTGCCTCTTTTGGGGTAAAGTGAGAAGAGCAGAGGGCTTGGAAAAGGACTCTAGGAAGAATCAGCTATTATGGTGCCTTTCTGAGTAGAAGAACGAGAAGAAGCAAAATGAATGGTAGAATGAACGAAATCATGTCAGTGTATATTCTTTCAGCAATTAGTTGAAATAGACATGTACAACTATTCAATTAAAACTTTACAACTTCACAGATAATAGTTTATGAAAAAGAAGGATAAAGGATGTCTACCTGTTGAGCATTTCAGTGTAGAGATAGAACGTCTGACTATTCAAAAACAAAGTTCTGTTTAGACTCTCTTGGGAAGACACTTGAATTTTACTTTCATCTTTGCTATAAGAAAGTGTCACTGTGGGCTCTTGCCATGGGATTAATATTAACAATACAGTATGTTTTACAGAAAATAGCTTTCTAGGGGCAGGCTGGGGTGTATTCCTGGAGGTGCTGCTGCTTTCACAGAGTACTGGGGAGGTCTAACTTACTATTTTATCCATTGTATAAGTAATCTTAACATACAAGAAATTTTTTATGTCAGTGAAAGAATAATTTCAGGAGTAGGTCGTGCCCTTTATGTTCTCTTTGGAAAGACTCCAGATTGAAATTCAACCCTGAAGAAAAGGGCGAAGTTTACATCACAACAGGAGTCATTGAAGAAAAAGATCATACTTACTGTTTGCTGGCAGATTTTATAGGGAATTCATCTCATTGTGCCATGCTATTTTGAAATGCCACCAAGTAAAAAAATGATATTGCCAGAGACTTTTTTTGATGAGTGTAATTTTAAAGCATCTAATATTGAAATTTAGAATGATGCTGTAAGAAGCCATTTCTGATTAGAAAAATATTTAATATTTAGACATGTAGTTAGCTATAGAATGGATGAGCTTAGACCTCAATAATTTTTTAGGTGCATGTGGTAGAGCAGGCTATATTAAATTCAGGCTTTGTTATTCTCGTACTCACTATTTAAATATCAGCAGAATTTTAAGAGGAAAACTTTTGTGTGTTTGAATATTTCAAGTACAGTGAATTTGATTATAAACACTTTAGAGACAGACTGTCTCCAGTATAATAAAAGTTGAGTTATCTGGCACTGTACCCATTGGAAAGTTTTAGAAACCAGCATTTTCCAAGTATAGCTCTTCATTCTAGATACCAGTTTCAACACTACAGCTAAAGGATACAGGCTAGAATTTCTACGACAAAAATATCAAAGGGAAAAGAAATGAGATGCTCCTGGTGACATAGAATGGGATAATTGTGATATTGTTTATTTTAGTTATCTATTACTATGTAACAAACCACACAAAACACACGGCTTAAAACAACAATGGTTTATTATTTCTCACCATCCAGTGGGTTACCCGGGTGGTCCTGCTGCTATGGCTAGGGTCACTCTGTTGGCTGTATTCAGCTGGTGACTGGGCTGGCACATGCAAGATGGCCTTTCTCATATGTCCGGGCCTTGAGGGTGACTGTCAGCTGGGCTACTTTAGTTTTCCAGGGTTTTAAATGTCCTCTCTTTCCACATGGTATTCTCCACAGGGTTCCTCCACAGGGCCCCTCTCTCCAGCAAGAGAGCATGGGCTTCCTCATAGCATAGCAGTTGAGTTCCAAGAGAGAAAAGTGGACACTACCAGTCCTCTTAACAGCTTGGCCCTAAACTCACACATGTCCCTGCCATGGCATTCTCTTGGTCAAAGCAAATCACAAGGCCAGCTCAAATTCAAAGGCAGGGGAAGTAATCTCTACATCTTGATGGGAAGAGTGGCCTCTGACTACTAGAAGGATGGCGAAAATGTTGGCCGCCATCTTTGAAGATAACCAATCACGTCATTAAAAGTAGATTTTCTGGGAAGAGGGCTGCTTTGGTTCTTTCTAGGGCAGTGATGGACAAACTACAAAACACTGGTACTTAACTCTATTGATCTGTCTGTGCTAGGGAAGATTGCTTCTCAGTAGCCTTTGCTGGATTTGATTTGTATCTTCCCCCTCTGTGTATTCATTACCTGACAGAATCATTGTAATATACAGATAGGAGATTATACTCTAATTTCTACTAAAGTTTAGATTAAATGTTGGGGAAACAGGCATGAACAACACAGACACAGTTGCTTCCCTCATGTGTTTTAGTACTGAGATCTTAAGATACTTTTCCAATGTTAAGATTTCTAGATCAAGGATATGAAAGTAAGATTTAAGTCCACATAGAGTTATTGTCAACCTTTCCA